TCCTTCCTTCCTTCCTTCCTTCCTTCCTTCCCTCCCTCCCTCCCTCCCATTTTTTCAATCCTAGGCACACATCCTACTCCTATAGGTATCAAGGTTAACCTGAAGGATATCTTAAATGTACACTGGATATATATAACAAATATCCAAAGGGATTAGTTGCCTAGTCTTACAGCTGTGAAGACTGCCTCTTTCACCAGTAATCATACTTTACCAGCATAGGAACATCTGGGTCTTTTTTTTTTTTTAATATAATACTCATTAACTGCAATTTCCACCAATTAGGTGCTCAACATCATTTGGCGTCATTTTGCAAAATGTTCTTTCCAATTCTCCAATAATGCAGGGCACATGCCTCTAATTTATTTAAAGTATAAACACAGTGAGACTATACCCGACACAGTAAGCTGATCCCCATACTCACTGGTAAAAATAAATCATATCCGAGGTACTGAATTAGAACTAGTGAGAATACAATTCTGAAAATAAAATACAAGTTCCTCCAATTTAAAAGATCCACTATAGTTTGCTTAATGAATGCTTCAGAAATATTTAAGTTAGATTTAAGACCTAATAAAAATGGAAATACTTTATCCACGGTCTGTAAATATCATTGTTACAGGACCAAAACCCTCCTCATATACTGACTTGTAACAATCAAAAAGACCCTGTGATTCTTTCCCTTATGAATTAGAAAAATTGTAATCATGATATTTCACGCATATTGGGGGCTGAATTCCAAGGTCTCTTTATTAATGGAAGAAAGAAAAGGAAGCTTTGGATATAAAGATGGTAAAGAAATGAAGACCCATTGGTTGCCTATACAGATTCATTTGGTATTCATTTGCAGCCAAGAAATCAAGGCCCTCCTGGCAGAATGGGGTATCAAATCTTCATGGCTGTCTCTATGCATTCAAGGAGTTATGCACACATATGAAAATTAGCACCACAGTGATCTACCTCAGCACACTGCCAGCCTGATTGACAAGTTGATATTCATGAACAGCTGCATTTTATACCATGCACACTTTAAAGGGGTTGCACAGCTAATTATCAGAACTATTTGGAGAACTTCCATGAGATCATGCCATCTTAAGAGACATTAAAGGCTTCAAAGGCACCACAGAATCAACTCTTTTATATGATAAAATCATCCTTAAAAGTTCTTACATCTTAAACTGACAGAAAATGGACCAGAGATCTACAGAGAAGTTCAGACCTCACTTGAAGCTGATTTTACTCCTGGAAGAGCAAATGGTACAATTATTATCCCAGCTAAGAATAGCAATTCAGATGCTACTTTTGAATTGGAAAGGAAAGGAAAACCAAAAACATACCTCTGACGATATGGACCTTAAAGTTCTCCAGAAAAGAAATAGCTAGAATGACTGCCAAGTAAAATCTCATGGTTGATCTTTTCCTTAGGACAATGGGAAGATGAATACTTCAAGGCTCATTTCAACACACTTATATACTCCTCTGGACACTTCCGGAGCAAGGGGTGTAATGGTAAGGATGAGAGATGGAAAATCTGAAAAAACCCACCCGTTCATATTTTAAGATAGAAGAAAAAAAAAATCCCCCTCTTCTGTTCTAGCCCCCAATCATGAGCTTTTTCCTGCCACAATGTGGTTACTTCTGCAGAGTTTTGCAGCTAGTTTTATTCTAGGTCTAAAAGAAAGTTTTTTCTGTCCATGGTGGAAACCAACAGTGTGACTGGTTTTATCACTAAGCTGTGGATTTACTATGCACTACACAAATCAGGAAATCAAACTGTATGATCAGAAGAAAACCTAATCTAAATGTATTATCTATTTAGAGAGACATAAACACAGTCATTATTTTCTCAGGAACCTTCAGTAAATAAAAAATTACCAATATGAAATTAAATATATGTGCATGTCTCTCTCTCTCTCTCTCTCTCTGTGTGTGTGTATGGATACATCTGCAACATATAACATGCTGATCTATTAATAATTTAGATATAAATTCCATTTTATCATTATAAATGACTGTCATCATTACATATAGTACCAGCTGATACAAGGAATAAGGGCTGTTTGGAGATATATATGTACCCATATAGCTTAATAGGTAGCCTAAGGCTGTATCAGTCTAAATAATATTTCAAGTTTATTTTGTAGATTAAATTACATAACTTCATGGATAGTGTTGTGAGTTGGTTCAAGAAAGAGTAATAGAGGCATAGAGTATATCATTAAAAGAATATTAATTGTTGGAGTAATTCACCCAGTATGTTACTTTCTGTAAGGTTAGCTAATCTAAAATGCATGGCATAAAAAGAAGAAGAAAAGGCAGAAGGGAGAATAAAAACAGCAAAACCAGGGGCTTCTTTTTAGTTATGACCTGTATATAATAAGGAGCCACCTTAATAATAATCACAGGGAAGATGAGTCCTAAATGATAAATCCAGTTCCTCCCTTCTATAGCCAGACCAACATTTACACAAAGACAGATATTAAATAGTCAGGGAGACACCTGATCATGCAACAACACTGAAATATGAGACGTCCCCTACCACACTTTCCTGTTTTCAGGAACAGAAAGGAGCAGTTGAAGGCAGCTGCAATGAAACAGGAGGGGAGGCAAAGCATTTGTTCTCAAAAGAGATGTAAAGAAAATGACTGACCCTAAAATCCCACCAAAATGGCAGAAGTAGCCTAATTTTTCCTGGCTTGCAACCCTAGCAGGATAGCATTTTAAAGTATTTCCCTGGGATCCATCTCTGCTGCCTTATTTATCATAAGTGTACTGCTGGATCTTCAATTTGGCTGGAGAAGGGAGAAGAAAAGCCTGGGTGTTGGAGGCAACTTATCTGCAAATTCCTTCAGTCCTTTTGAAAAGACACAAAAGGACTGTTGGATCTTGTGGGCTGGGCAGATATAACTGGAGATAGACAGTGCCACAAATAACCTAGCCCTGTGCTATGCATGCCTTTATTAGCCCCTTGAATTGTATCCTGAAGCTTATAGAAATCCACTGCAGCTTACAAAGTAGTAGCATTACTTAGGCGTACTGTGGTATGCTCAAAACTACCAGCACTGCCACATTCTGAGCCAACTGTAGCTTCTGGAACAGGCAGACCAGCTGCAATAGTCCAAGCAGGAGGTGACCAAAACATGAGTGACTGTGAGCAGGACTTCCCAATCCAGGAGTTGTGCAAAGGCTCTCCTGGCCACAGCTACCACCTGCTCTTCAAGCAAGAGCCATGAGTCAAGAGGACCCCCAAATTGGGTACCAGTTCTGTCCTGAGACATGCAATTCCATCCAGAACTAAAGGTGAAGAATCTCCAAATCACACTCACATCATCAATATGAGTCATTGATCTGTCATTTAATTATAGCATCAGCAGGCCGGATGTGAGGCTAACAAGATGTGGTTCTTCTGGGTAAAGGAGAAGCCAGAGTAGGGGACAGGCAAAAGGTTCATATTTCCTTCAGTTTGAAATACTAGAACTCTACAGATCCTCAAGTGGATGCTTGGCTTTGTCAGATATCTGTGTGATGCACCACTGCAAAGTGAGGTATAAGTTGCTCTGTATCCAAAGAGTTGAATTACCAGCTCAGTATACATACATGGTGTATGTGCATAAAGTACCATTTTTTAGGAGGATCTTCCAATTGATGCAGATCTCCCCACTTTGACTTGGCACCAGGGAAAAGCAAAGCACCTTCTGAGACCTTCTTCATGTTTAAGCAATGTGACACATCTCTGCGAGCCTCTCCAAAGAGATGCAAAGCGATGGAATTTTTGTAACATATCATTTATCTATAGATATGCACCTGTTAAGAATATTTATTTATTTATTAAACCAATTTATATAGCCGCCCATCTCACCATAGGTGATTCTGGGCGGCGTACAACAAAGCTAAAAACAGTCAATAAATACATTAAAAATAAAAATAAAACAAAGAATAAAAGGACATTAAAAATAAGGAAGCCACCTCACTCATTCCTCCAGGCCTGTTCACATAACCAGATCTTAAGGGACCTTTGGAAGCTCAACAATGATGAGACCAACCTCACCTCAGGGGAGAGAAGATTCCACAGCACGGGTACCACAGCAGAAAAGGCCTACCAC